CGAGGGGTAAGTTTATTTTATAGACGAAATTGAGTATCAATGATTGATTTCTATTATCTATAGACATCTTCGAAAAAGAGTCGAGGTGTAGCCAAACGGTGAACAAATGCCTGAAGGGGCTTATCCGTAAACTTTATTAATCAAGAATCTTGCTTAATAAAATTAATTCATTCTATTTTTTTCTTGTATCGACACATATGCTTTATCTGAGTTTGATTCAATTGTTTATCTTCTACATATTATTCGAGAATATTTCTTTGTTTTTACTATCCGAGTGTACGTTTTGTTTTCTTGAATGTAATAAAAGTTTATTATCAAAAAAATGTAGTTGGATGATACAGTGCTGATGATTGATGGTTGAAAACGATGTTGCTTAAGGGGGTGTGTATCAAAATGAGCGAAAGAAATAATATCGAAGGAAAAAAAAGCGAAAGCATTTAGAGCGAAATATAAAATCCCGAAAAAATTTATTTTAATATTTTTAGACTGCTAAGATGAAGATTTTTTTATTTTCTGGTAAAACTTTAAGTACACCAAAAAATGAAATGAATGAAGTGTCATCTAATAATTGATCAGCATCGATTTCAAAAAAGCTTTCCATATATTCGTATACGTATATACATATTGTATCCATTTCTTTCGCAAATACAATATTCCCTAGACTGAAAGGATAGGGTGTAGAAACCGTAATTCACCTGTGTCTGTCTGTCTGTAACACTGGCACAAATGACCGTTTCTATGTCACAAACGACCATTTTAATGACACAAAGGGCATTGTTACGGCATAAACCACCCAGGTGAAACAATCGTATGCAGATCATATTCGATCTTACAAGATCTTACAGATAATCTGATATCATCAGATTCGTACAGTATGATCTTTCAAAATCAGACGGTCAGAATCCTGTATGATCTGATAAAATCGTAGATTAGGATTTCAGTGATAAAAATAGTCTTTATAATGATAATTTCTATTATTTTAAAAAGTATTTTTAAACAGTAAAACGTGATCTAATTTAAAATATCATGCGCTCTTTTATTAGAAATACATCTTTGACATAGTTGTTTACTTGTCAAGATATCACACCACTGATAAAATAGATTTAACCAATCAAATTCGCTACTTTGTTCAAGACAAATGTCGAATAAATCACTTTTGCATTTGAAGTACAAAGAAGAAAAGATATATCTATTTTTCCAATGATATATTCACAAACAACGACAAGACATCGTTTTCATCTCATCTTATTTGCTTTCATTCGTACAAAGAAATGACCTGAACTTATAGAACGGCAAATCATTTTCTCGTCAGTCTTTTCAGGCAATATCGTCTATTATATCTCCTGGAAAAGTGTTATTCATGCTACTGCAGAGTGCATTCATTTTACTTATATTTATTATTTCATTTTTACTTTTAACTTTTAGATATGATCATTCATTTTTTGTTGAAATGAATCAACATCAGAAAATCAATGATCTTATAGAAACGGGTCGTGTGAGAAAGAAAAGGCGATTGCATTTACAGCGGACAAGTTATAAATATCGTATTGGGTTAGCTAAGAAAGATGTAGAAAGATTAACTGAAGCTGCTGACCACTGTTTAACTGAAGAAGAAAATATTGAATTTGAATGTAATGAATCTATTATTACTTCACATAGCAATGCAAATCGACTAAATACTGCTATTACGACACACGATGATCAATATTCATCAAGTCAAAATCTACATGATGCATCAAATATTGAAGAACAAATCTTAACATCAAATCGTCATTCAAGTAATTCAAGCATCGATAATAGTGAAACAGATGAATCGTTTAATATTGAAATCGAAGGTATACTCGTATAATAGTGTTGACTATTTATTTAGTAAATATATATATGCTAGTGACTATACGCATGACTACATGATCATTAATATTTCAAAGTTTACCATTAGTATCGTATGAGACAATGAAATTCGAGAAAATATGATTTTTTTATTGATTTCACATGACTTTAATACGTCATTTCACTTATTTAGCTTCAGTAAAACTTTCTTTTCGATATTGCCAATGAAACGATTTAAGTCACATGTAGTATTTTATGTTTTAATATTGTAGACGATGATAATAATGGTAAAGAAGATGATTCAGAATCAATACAAAATCCTACAATTGTACTTCATCGTAGCACAAATGTCTTACTTGACGATGCTTGCTTCGATTTTTTACAACTTATTCGTCGATCCCAAATAAGTAAGACAAATGCAAATAGGTGGTTATTGTTCATCAAAAGTCTTCTGCCTTTTCCGAACTCAATTCCGTCAAATATAAATGGTTTATTAACTCACTTGAATATTTTCAATTATTTTCAAAAAAGAACTGTTTGTCTTTTATGCCGAAGAAATCTACAAGACAATCAAACAAAGTGTGATGATTGTTCAATAGCTGATAAAACAAATATTGCTTATGTTCTTGATACTGATGTATTATCTCTTTTAAAAACGACCGTTTCTCGATTAGCGAATGAAATTCAAAAATATAAAGATTATTTTTTACATTTTTCACAGAATGAAGCCTATGATATTCCATTTGCTAAACGATACAAAAACCTTGTAGTTCAATATCCAGGGGAAAATCTTTTATCTTTAATTTTGCATATAGATGGAATAAGTCTCGTCAAATCAACAAAGCTTAAACTATGGTTATGTAGTGCATCTATAGTCGAACTTCCACCGAACCTTCGAGTTCGACGAAAAAATATTATTTTATTATCTATGTACATTGGATATACTGAACCAGATATTATTCTATGGCTTCAATCAAGTTTGTCAACAATAAAAAACATAAAAGAAAAAGGTATAGGAAAAAATCTAAAAGCACTTCTGAGCAATTCATATGATAAATTAATCTTTCAAATTTCTTTTTGGAACAAATTCAACTCTGACTGTATAATAATTACACTATATATTTTAAATAATAAATTTTTATTTGTCTTACATTTAATTGAATACTTTTTCTTCTTCTAGATTTACAAATAAATACACCAACAACACCATTTCGTTTGATTTTATACGGGATCATTGGTGATTGTCCCGCCATGAAACTAATCTTAAACATGGTGGGTCATACTGGATATTACTGCTGTTTTTATTGTTTTATTAAGGGTATTCATTCCAAAGAAGCTCGTAAACGACAATACCCATATTCATCACAAACACAACAAAGAACAACTAATTCATTTATAACAAATGGTAAACTTGCTGAAGAAAATAATTCCAACGTTTTTGGTCATCTTGGTAATTCTATTTTACAAGGAATCATCGATGTTCCACTTCCATTTTCGATATTAATTGATTATGCCCACGTGACACTGCTACGTCATTTTCGTGGTGTCATTCAAAAAATTTCTTCATCTCTAGCTCCTTCTGTTCGACAACAAATTGATGTAAATTTACGTTCTCAAGCCTTTCCACATATATTCAATAGAAAACTCCGTGGTATTGAAGAACTTTCATTTATAAAAGCTGTCGAGTTAAAAAATTTACTTTTATATGCATTTATTCCTAATTTTATTGATCATTTAACAACCAATCAAATTGGCTTCTTATCTTTATTGGTATTGGGTATTCGATTAATTCATGCGGATAAAATCTTTGGTGACAATACAAGTTTACTAGCACATGAATTGCTTACCACTTATTATCGTGATAACACTCAATATTTCCATAATCATGTGAATTTCGTTTTACATTTGCATGAACATCTGGCTAGTTTATATGATCAACATGGCCCATTATCAAGTATTAATACATTAGCTTTTGAAGATTTTATTGGATATGTTTCGAAAAATCGAAATGGTACTGTTTTTCAACATGATTTATTGGCTTATTATTTTAATATCGACGTTCATTTACGAAATTCTATGCAAGAAAAACATTTGACATCTGATGGTAAGTATTTCTTGAATTTGAAAACAAGATACTCATCTAAAACAAGCACTGGTTGCCTAAGAGCAATTACTGCAATGTAAGTTAAACACATTCTAAATAGTTTCTGAACTCTTTTAGGTCTGTTTGATCTATTTGTACTTAGCTCAAAGGATAGTTCATTTAATGCATTAGTTAATTATCATGCAAAAAAGTGTTTATGTAATGTTATGATTAACTGTGTCAAATATTACCGTCGATGCATAGTACGGACACGCGTTTATCATTCAATGAAATATTTAAAAAGAAAAAAATCTATTAGTTATTTCGTACAATACCATACTGCTAGTAATACATATAAGTTTGGAAAAATTATTTTGTTTTTTTGTCTAAATAATAAACCACAAGCATTAATCCAACAATTCATCAACTATGAGCCATACAGTGCTTATTTCAAGCAAAGTTATTATTACAATCTCATCCAAAAACCAATGGATCATTATTATTTCGTTTTAAAAGAAACGAATACATTTCGAGCGATAGATATTGGCGACATAATAACATATGTAATCCCTTTTAAAAATTGTAGAGATGATTCAACTATTGTTGTAACTCCTGTTTGTTGTACTAACGAACATGACTAGTTTCTTTCTCGTTCACTATAACGTATAAATAATTCGATCTATGTGTGTGCGATTTCATATGTAATATCATTAGTCTTGATACATACAGTTTCATCAAAGAAACGAATTCATCATAATGCAATGAATATTGTAACTGAAATATTCTAGCATTTCAAGACAATATCAATAAGCGGCCTATATTCTCATAAGAGATGATTTTTCATTTTCATGACACAAAATTAGAAGAATATCTTTATTTTTTTCTCTTCAAGTCAATTTGAACAGAATTACTTTATATTGGAAAGAAATTTTTATTTTAGATAACAAATAGTATGGCTTATTTTGACAACAATACATCAACACGTAAACATCGATCAACACAAAACAAAATACCAGCTCGCTATATCTTGACACCAACTCCACCATCAAGAAGAAACCAAAATCCTAATAATGGTAGCAATCTTTTTATTTCTTTACTGTTGCTAGCATCTGCTATGTTTCACCGTTCATTTTAGAAAATATTGATCCGTATTCAAGAAAGTTCACCACGCAAAATGGTGAACAATCAAGTATGTATTCTATTTCATGTCAAAGAAAAAATTAATTTATTCGTGTATTCACATAATCTTATAGACAAAAAAGTTAAATTTCGTTCGGATCTGTCTTTATCATCAAACAAAAGAATTCGAATTGCTTCCGAAGATCCAGAATCACAACATTGTACTCAGGGTAAGTAGATAACTCTATTCAATATCTAAGTCGTCAAATATCTTCCTTTTGAACAGTCTGAATCTTTTTCATAAATAAAAATTACCCGTATTTTTTCTCTTAAGCGGAATCATAAATACATACTATCACATAGTTTTGTCTTTTGGATAAAGAAAGAGTTTTCATTATTTTTTTCTCTTATTTTGTAGAACAATTCGGGACATACCGTCGTCGTTCACGTAGTAGAGCTAAAAGTTCGAATAAAAAATGTAGTTTATTTGCATCAAATGTAACATCGAATTCGAATATTCTTGATGTTGATGACGAACGACATGTTGAAATTAGTAAATAAAACAATGTCATCCTGTACAAGCAGCATCTTTCTTTTGTTGTTTAGTTAGTGAAAGTGAACACGACGATTTTGATGACAATGATGAACATGACGACGATGGCGACGAAGAAGAACATATTCAACATATGTTGAATGAAGAACGAAATGAGGAAGTTGAGAATGATAATGACGATGGGAATTACCACGTCAATCAACCACGACAAGGTAATAAAGAATATGAAAAACTTTTTAGTAAATCTTAATTTTTCAAAGCATTCTTCTAGTAGCTTATTATAAAACATCTCAAGTAAAATAATTAAAGAATCCTTTATTCATCCATATTTCTTAGATTCAAATAATATATACATATATATATATATTGTTTTGGGGGTAATTTGGTTCCATTTACTATGCCATCTAGAGAATTCTCCATCATAAGCGAATTTATTTCAGTCAAAATTAACCAGTTGTAAAGCTCCGTTTCATACAATAATTTTATCCTTTTAAGTCACTTAAATGAGTTAGAAATTTTGTACACACCAAAGCGAAAGTATTTTCAATACCACGCGAAATCTTCTTAGATGACAACGACATCTATTTTTTAGTTTCGACAGAACAAACAATTCTCGATACTACATTTTTCTAAGATTCATTTTTAAAGTTTTATTTTTATATATCTATCAAATAATTAACTTTGTAGTGCCTAATGATGCAAATATTTCAAAAAAAAAGACTTATCGAACAAATGAACACCAAACGAAGAATTTTCAATTCGAATTTGGTCAATTACGTACAGGTATGTTGATAGAAGTAGTGCATCAAAATTATTATTGAGAAATCAATTGATTGATATCGCTGTAAAAATAAACTCAACGAATATTTCAAAAAAAATTAATTTTGTTCCCAATTGAAACACTTATATTAATTATTTTTCTCTAGTTTTGAATATTTTTTGACCTACTAAAAATATACTTTTAGATTTAGCCGATGCTATTTCAAAATTAGTTAATCGCGTTGAAACTCATCAAGACAAAATCGAAAAACAATTCAAGAATTTGTCGAAAAAAATAAATCAAACAACAGTGGGACTTGTGCACATTTTTCGAAAGAATTTTCTACATTGATACATTGTATTTTAGGTCGATTCTAGCTTAGAAATGTATCGTCGTGATGGTGAAACATTTTCTCGAACGCCCAGGTCGTGGACGTACGGCGGGAAGCGGCCGGAAAGCACAGGAAAGCGCTGGAAACTGGAAGCAGTATTCCAGTTGGAAGTTACCGGATTTTCTTCCTGTAGAT